ATTATTATTATTATTATTTTCAAAGCCAGGTGCAGTGGCATACATCTATAGTCCCAGCTACTCAGGGGGCTGACACAAGAGGATCACTTGAGTCCAGGAATAAAAGTCCAGCCTGGGCAATATAGTAAGACCCCCAACCGGAAAACAAAAATAAAAACAAAAAACAATTTTAAACATAAAACAACTATGTTGTTTTTAATCCAGATGTATAAGAAATACTATGACTTGACAAATTTTAAAAGAAAATGGCAAATTATAGTTTAAGAGAATAAACAAATATTTTCTGATGAACCTGAATGTTTAATTTTAGAACTGTGCTAAAACCACCAATGTAATAAGGTTTTCAAATTAGGTTTTTGTGGCCATTCTCACTGAAATGATCTGGGATGATGTCACCTCAAGTAGAAAAGCCTAATGTTCCCAGCTAGTATCCAAATTATGACCTCTACTACTAATGTTCAACAAATAGAAATGGAGCTCCTTAGAAAATGGCTGATTACACATCTGGAACAAAGAATACAAGATATACCTCCACAATTTTGAGCATCAAAAAGCAAGGATACTACCTCAGTGGGTCGGTCATGGCAAGGGACACAGGAGCTAGCCATAAGAGACTCCAGCCATACAAGAATGAGTGTTAAGACTGGTCATATCTACTGAAGCTAAACATATGAATATCTTATGGTCTGGTGCTTTCATATGAATGTGCATGTCACAGAATTTTAGCCTGTAAAAACTATGAATTTGTAGTGATATTTAAAAATCACAACATTAAATCACAATATTTTTTTTTAAAAAAAGAGCCCTGGGATTGATCACTACACAAAAGGAAGGTGGGAAGGGATGGAAGAAAGAAGAGAGACTAAAGTGTCAATTAAAGGCAGCATGTGATCCTGATAGGATCCTGGAACAATAAAAGAAAAGTAGCTATAAAACGACATTATTAGCTGACATGTGAATATAGACTGTCTTACACAACAGCCTTAAATCAATGTTAACTGCCTGGTTCTGAAAACTGCTGGCTATGTGAATATACTCATTCTTGGGAAATACACACTAAGGTATTTATGGGTAAAGGAGCATCATGTCTACAACTTAACTAAAACAGTTGAGGTAAAAAAGGATAAGAATTATATATACATATACTCACACACACAAAGAACAGTCACATGGGCTGAGGTTGTGGCTCAGTAATAGAGCGCTTGCCTCATACACGTGAGACACTGAGTTCGATCCTCAGCACCACATAAAAATAAAATAAATATATTGTGTTCACCTACAACTAAAACAATATTTAAAAAAACACAGTCACTTATCACAGAGAGCATATGACACACATCTCTCTCTCTCTCTCTCTCTCTCTCTCACACACACACACACACACACACACACAAGCATACACATAGCTTTATCTAGATGAATCTATATGAAGGATACGTATGAGCCCTATACATAAAAGATACATAAGTAATATTCTTTAAAGTTTTCCAAATAAAAATAAAATTTCCAAATAAAAATAATTTTTAAAAAAATTACAGACAGTAGGTCCACAGATCCTGCTACTACCATCATTCTGCGGTTTCAGGGATTTTTCTGCCACTGGTTCAAGACAGAATTAATTCCCCATACTCCCTGAGGCCAAGTGAAGTGGCATAAATGACAAGTGGCCACATACCATCCCCTACAATGATAGAATGAAAAGCTAGACAGATGTGCCTCTGAAAGAACACGCCTATCACATCTACAATGTGACCATGGCCTTTTCTGACTCTCCCTCACTCTTAGTCTCCCTGGATCTTGGGGTCAACTCTTCTCCCATAATTTAGCCACAGAGGTTCCATGGAAGAAGGAAAAGAATAACATCCTTACGTTGGTTCTTGCTTCTAGCTCAGGGATGATGCTATTTCCTTATACCTGGCAGACTTTGCTCTGGCAAGAAGTCTGGGATTGCTGTGTGTGGTGGCACACATCTGTAATTCCAGTGGCTTGGGAGGATAAGGCAAGTTCAAAGCCAGTTTTTGCTAAGCAACTCAGCAAGACCCCGTCTCTAAATAAAATATGAAAATGGACTGGGAATATGGCTCAGTGGTTAAGTGCTCATGGGTTAAATCCCAAGTACAAAAAAGAAAGAAAGAAAGAAGTCAGCCAATCCCAGTTGCTTGGGAGGCTGAGACAGGAGTATTGCAAGTTCAAAGCCAACCTCAGCAAGGTGAGGCACTAAGCAACTCAGTGAGATCCTGTCTCTAAATAAAATACAAAATAGGGTTTGGGATGTGGCTCAGTGGTTCAGTGCCCCTGAGTTCAATCCCTGGTACCCATACACACACACCAAAAAAAAAAAAAAATGTCTTGGACCTTGTTGACCCCTTCATAAGAGGATTTTTGTTCCAAATTTCCTGTTCCTAGACCAGATGGGATCTTTTACTTGGCCTGCCAACCCCTGACAGTTTCATCTCATAGCATTCACTCACCCTTAGCTGCAGACACTGGCGGGGTCTTCTGCAGAGGTGGACGAATTTCTGTGGCCCTGAGGGCTGGCAGGAGCTGGATAGCCCTACTGTCCAGCAAGATGGCAGGATCCAAACATCTGCAGGACACCTGGGAACCTGAAAATAAGCCGATCCCTTGGTGAGTATCAGCCAAGTCTCCCTCCCCAAATATTCCCTGGGCCTCAAGGGGAAAGCCTGCAGAGACCTGTGGAGAACACAACTGACAATAAGAAAGATGGCTTGAGTATGTCTGAAGCATTGGCAAGACAACTCCCATCTCAGGCTCGAGGGTGTAAAAATATAAATTCCTTTGCAAAGAGGCTGTACAGAGGGCCCTAGGAAGTTGCTCTACCATGCTCAGCCACACAGGTACTCAAGTATCACTAGTTTCAGAGGCTGCTGAAGCCATGGTCCCTGGGGGCTGGGCTACTACTAGAGATGGTGGCAGACCTTGGTGCCAACCATGTGGTGCTGGTTCTGCAGCAATGCAGAATGCTGGAGTGTTAGGGGGCCAGGCAGGCTGTAGCAGACTTGAAGTCCCTGTAGGCAGTCCCTGTAGAGATGTGAGAAGGAAGCCAAAGTTGCAGTAGAGACCCCCCCAAGATTGAGAAATGCCAGACATTCCAAATGTGGAATGTCTACTGAGGAAAGCTGCAGGAACCAAGCAGAAACAAGCCAAGAGAGAGGCCAAGTGGACTGCAGCTAGAAAAGCCATAGGGTGGAGCTATACAAGCCCTTTGGACAGAGAACATCACCATGCTACGTGCTCCAGATGCCAGACATGAACCACAGGACTTGTTTGCCCAACTGAATTTTGGTCTTGCTTTCGTCCCATCCCTTCTTTCTATGCCCCTATTTCTCCCGTGTGGAATGGAGCTGTTTACTCTCTACCTTTATATATTGTATATTTGTAACTTGCTTTTACAGGGGTTCATGCTGAAAGTTTGCCTTGAGTCTCAGAGGAGACTTTGGACTTGGACTTTTTGGGCAATCTTGGAGCTGTTGATACTATGGGGATTCTTGGAAATGGACTAAATGTATTTTGCCTTGTGAGATAGGCATGAGCTTTTGGGCGCCACAGCTGGAATTTTATGGTTTAGATATGAGTTGACCCCCCCAAAGCTCATGTGAGACAACTCAAGAAGGCTTAGAGGTGAAATGATTGGGTTATCAGAGCCGTCACCCAATCAGTGCATTAATCCTTTGGTAGGGATTAGCTGGATGGTGACTATAAGCAGGTAGAGTGTGGCTAGAGGAGGCCAGGTCATTGGGAGGTAGGTGTGCCTCTGGGGTTTATATTTTGTCACCGTGAGGACAGCTCTCTCTCTGCTTCCTGATGCCATGTTCCCATCTGTTTTCCTCCACCACATTATTCAGCCATGATGTTCTGCCTCACCTCTGGCTCCAAAGAATGGAGTCAGCTGTCTATGGACTAAACCTCTGAAACTGTGAGTCCTAAAATAAAGTTTTACTCTCTTAAAAAAAGAAAAAAGAAGAATATAGAACTAGGCATGGTAGCACATGCCTATAATCTCAGTAACTCCAAAGGCTGAGGCAAGAGGATCGAAAGTTTGAGGCCATCTCAGCAATTTAACAAGGTCCTGAGCAACTTAATGAGACTTTGACTCAAAATAAAAAACTAAGAGGGCTGGGCATGGAACTCAGCAGTTAAGAACTTCATTTTGAAACCAAGAAATCCCCGGTTTCAAAAAGTGAGCAAAAAAAGAACAAAAAAGATTGTTTATGAGAGGCAAGTGAACAATGTATGAGAAAAATGTCTTTTTTTCTCATTGTAAGTCAAAGAAGGGAAAAATAAGAAATAAGTGATGAGGAAACTGAGACACAGAATGACTAAGTAGCTCATGCAGTGTCACACACCAATAAATATTAGAGATTGCATTTGAACCCAGGCTCTCTGGCGCCTGACAGCCTGTTTCTGTTTCTACACATAAGGAAATAGGCCCCCTAACTCCAGCATTCTGCATTGCTGCAGAACCAGCACCACATGGTTGGCACCAAGGACTGCCACCATCTCTAGTAGTAGCCCAGCCCTCAGGAACCATGGCTTCAGCAGCCTCTGAAGCTAGTGATACTTGAGTACCTGTGTGGCTGAGCATGGTAGAACAACTTCTTAGGGCCCTCTGTACAGCCTCTTTGCAAAGGAATTTTTATTTTTACACCCTCGAGCCTGAGATGGGAGTGGTCTTGCCAATGCTTCAGACATACTCAAGCCATCTTTCTTATTGTCTCTGGGCAGTCTTTAGTGTTTCTTTAGTAGCTATAATACATTTAACAACCACATTCCTTAGCTCCAGTTTTACTGACACTTTTCTGCCCAAATTCAGGTTTTAAAAATCTTTCTTGCTTTGCTTTCTGCTCCTGACTAACACAATTAACTTGGCTTTATAAAAGCCATCTAATCGATTAGAATAAGGGAAAAGAATGAAGGTACAAGGAACTTCATCTTCGTTTTACTTGTAAAAATAAAATATTGGAAGCAATAAAAATGTCCTAGCAATTGAAGAATGAGCTGACTGATAATGATAAACCACAGGATGGAACGGGCATTAGAAATAATAATTGAAGGCTGGGGATAGAGCTCAGTGGTAGCATGCTTGCTTAGATGTGCAAAGCCCTGAGATGCAATACCTAACACTCAAACAACAAATAATGACAATAACAATAATAAATGAGGATGACGTAAAATCTGGGTGTGGTAGTAAACACCTATAGTCCCAGCTCCTCAGAAGGCTCAAGTAGGAGAATCACTTAAACCCTAGAGTTTGAGACCAGCCTGGAAAACAAATCAAGATTTTGTCTCAAAACAAAACAAGGGCTGGGGATGTGGCTCCAGTGATAGTGCACTTGCCTGGCATGCACAAGGCATTGGGTTCGAGCCTCAGCACCACATAAAAATAAAATAAAGATATTGTGCCCACCTAAAACTAAAAAATAAATTTTAAAAAAAACTAAGAAAGAAAAAAAGAAATAAATAAAAATGGAGAAGTATGAAGGTACAAGGAACTACTCATTGACTTGGAAGAGCATTTGTGATATACACTGATGTATAAATTATAACTGCGTGAAAGCAAGATTTTTTAAAAAAATTATGTAAGTCTAAATCTATGAAGATATGGATTGTTGTTTTTTTCTGAGTGAAGGAATTGAAAGGAATTTTCCTTTTTGATGCTTTATTTTTTGACTTTATCAATATCCTCATGTTTATATATTTATTTGAATATATACTAATATCAATAGTAATAATAGTAAAAATCATGATAAATCAAAATAAGCAGTTTCACAGAGGAATGCAACTGTTCTTAGGAAAGAACAAATAAAACTGTGATGCATTGAATAAAACATTATTGAAACTTAGAAGGCAGAAATAGGAAAAAATAAACTGGGCTTGTATTTATTAGGCCCTGACCTCAAATAAGGCACTAAGTTATTTCCACATACTGACTCATTCAATCCTCACACTCTCCTCTACTCCATTTACAGACAGGACATAGTGCCCTGCAGAGGTGAAGTAATTAGGCAGCACTGAGATTCAGATCCACTGCACATCATGTGCTTTTAGTTTCTCGGTTTTGCTGTCTCTCCAAGTGAAGATAGATAGGTTTCTCTTCTTCTTCTTCTTTTCTTATTTTTAGTTGCTGATGGACATAACACTTTTTTAATTTATTTGTTATGTGGTAATGAGAGTCGAACCCAGTGCCTAACGTGCTAGACAAGCACTCTACAGCTGAGCCACAACCCCAGGCCTTAGGTTTCTCTTCTTCTTCCTTCTTCTTCTTTTAATATTTTAGTTGTAGACGGACACAATACCTTTATTTTATTTGTTTATTTTTATGTAGTTAGAGGGATCAAACCCAGTGCCTCACATGCTAGGCAAGCGCTCTACCACTGAGCCACAACCCCAGCCCTAATAGTTTATTTTGAGACAGAGTCTCACTAAGTTGCCAAAGTTGGGTTTGAACTTGCCCAGCCTCCTGAGTACCTAGGATTATAGGCATGTGCCACCTGGCTACATCTCCTATTTTATTGCAAAAAGGACATATTACTATATTCATACAAATAAATGCAGAGAAGATAAAGGATAATAAATACAGAAGGAATTATGTAACTACAAAATCACCATTTGGCAACCATAATAATAGTAATTAATTCATTCCAGAATCATTATGGATTCTTGCCTAACACTAGTGGAAGAAACTTTGAGCTTATTTACATGGTCTCAAATGATCTCTCCACAAGTTAGTTATTAATATAATTTTACAGTGGAGAAGTCTGATGGACATAACCTTAACCAGGTGATTAAAGTTAACATCACCTTTAATGTGACAAACCAACGATATCGTGTACTTGATGGAGCACATTGAAAAGTATATAACGTTACTTTTGTGTTATTCTTGTCAGAGATATACAACATGACTCTCAATAAGAGGAAAATCAGAAAAATTCAAATTGAGGTACATTCTATAAAAATAACTGGTCTCTACTCCTTATAAATGTTACGGTCAAAAATGATAAGATATAATCATGAGGGGCTGAGGATGTGGCTCAAGCGATAGCTTGATATGTACAATTATAATGTGTCAATTTAAAATGTTAATATTTAAATTTTAACATTTATGCTTTCAACAATTTTATTGTGATCATGTAAGAAAATGTCTTTGTATTTTTAAATTTGTACATAGACACAATACCTTTACTTTATTTGTTTTTATGTGGTGCTGAGAATGGAACCCAGTGCCTCACTGGTAGGCAAGCTCTCTACCACTGAGCCACAGCCCCAGCCCTGTCCTTGTATTTAAGGAGCCATAAGGGTAGAGGATCATGTCTACAAATTACTATCACATATGTCATTAATAAATGTGCACATATATACAGAGAAAAAGAAATTATTTGCACACATAGCAAAATGTTAACAGAATCAAAATGAAAGATATAACAGCAATTTTTGCTCTATTTTGTAACATTTCTAAGTCTGAAATTATTTTAAAACAGAAGTAAACAAAACAAAAAAACCCTTGTTTGTAGAAAATGAACAAGACGGAAGGGAAGACCTGTGAGTTGAAGGAAGAGGTTCACTTTTTCTCAGATACATCAGTTGAATGTGAGAGACAGAAGCTTGTTCTCTGCCTCAAAGTAAATGTACCATCTTCCTGGAAACCTGCACAAAGTTGGGTTTGAACTTGCCCAGCCTCCAAACATGCAGCATTTTTTGAGCCCTTATGCCTTGGACCCAGGCCAGAAACCCCTTTGAGATCTGTTTTCTATTTGCTTTGCTCAGGTCTCTGCATAGAATGGTCAGTCCCTAAGAGATAAAGGATTTTGAAATTCCAGACTATCTGTTGAGAAGAGGCTTCCCTCACTTGTCAATTTGTTGAACTTGTTAACTTCACTGATAGGATCTTGGCCCGAAAATCCACCCCAAACTCTAAGGGTCCACTTCATTGTGCAAGTTTTTGGCTTGTGGAGAGAATATCCTAAAATAGGCAATCTTAGGGGCTAAGGTTATGGCTCAGCAGTAGAGCGCTCGTCAAGCACATGCAAGGCACTGAGTT